TGGGGGGTGAGAGAGGCGGGTGGAAAGGGCAAGGGGAAGAGGTTTGGGAGGGATCGGGGGGGGTGGGGGGTGGGACCAGGCGGCGGGAGTGCCTTCGAACCCCTAGAAACATTAAGATTGGAGGCCCACAGGCGGAGGACAGCGGAGTGGGAGGGGGTGGGGGGCGGGGTGGGTGGGGGGTGGGGTGGGTGGGTGCGGATGGAGTGAAGGAATGTCGGGGGTGGGGGTGGGGTGGGGGGGGGGGTGACTGTGGAGGGGGGAGTGAGGGTTGGTGTTGGATTAGGGAGTGACTCGGGCACATAGGGAAGCGGAGCGATGAGAGCGGTGAGAGCGGGGAGAGCGGTCAGGGCGGGCGTGCATTGGAACCCCGAAAACACTAGAGATTGATCAGGAGCGGTGTAGGGGGTGGGGCTAGGCCGACAGGCGGAGGACAGGCGAGTGGGGGGGAGGTGGGGAGGGGGAGGGGGTGGGGGGTGGGAGGGGGGGGAAGGGCATGGGGCCATGGAAGGGAAAGGGGGGTGTGGAGGGGCGCGGGCAAGCACTGAAACCCAAAAACTCAGCTTATTTCAAGGGCATGGGGCCATGGGTTGGGGGGAGGGGGGGGGGTGGAAGGGTAAGGGGATGAGGTGTTGGGAGGGGGAGCGAAGGGTTAGGTGGTGGGGTGTCGAAGGGCGTGGCCATGGGAAGGGAAAGGAAGGTGTGGGTTGGGGGGAGGGGAGGGCGGGCGTGCATTGGAACCCCTAAAACACTAAAGATTAGAGGCCCACAGGCGGAGGACAGGGGAGTGGGAGGGGGTGGGGGGCGGGGTGGGAGTGGGGGGTGGGGTGGGTGGGTGCGGGTGGTAGAGGAGGGGAGGGGGAGGGGGTAGAGAGGGAGGGGGGTAGGGGGGGGTAGAGGGGGGGGTAGTGGACAGGGGAGTGGGGGGGTGGGGGAAAGTGGGGGGTGTCAGGAGAGGGAGGTGGGGGGTGAGAGAGGCGGAGGCATGACATGAGGGGTTGGGGGGAGGGGGGGGGGTGGAAGGGTAAGGGAGGTTTGGGAGGGGGAGGGTGGGGGGTGCCTAAAACACTAAAGATTGGAGGCCCACAGGCGGAGGACAGGGGAGTGGGAGGGGGTGGGGGCGGGGTGGGAGTTGGGGGTGGGGTGTGGGTGCGGGGTGCATTGGAACCCCTAAGACACTAGAGATTGATCAGGAGCGGCGTGAGGGGGGGGTAGTGGACAGGGGAGTGGGGGGGGGGGGGGGGGGGGGGGGGGGGGGGGGTGAGAGAGGCGGAGGCAGACATGGGTTGGGGGGAGGGGGGGGCGTGAAGGGTAAGGGGGAGGGTGGGAGGGGGAGGGGAGTGGGGGGTGGGAACAGGGTGGGCGTGCATTGGCCGGCGGAGGACGGGGGTGGGAGGGGGTGGGGGGGGGGTGGGAGTGGGGGGTGGGGTGTGGGTGCGGGGTGGGGTGGGGGGGGGGGGTGTGACTGTGGAGGGGGGAGTGAGGGTGGAGGGGGGGGTAGAGGGGGGTGAGAGAGGCGGAGTGGGGGGTGGGGTGGGTGGGTGCGGGCGGAGTGAAGGAATGTCGGGGGTGGGGGTGGGGTGGGGGGGGTGACTGTGGAGGGGGGAGTGAGGGTTGGTGTTGGATGAGGGAGTAACTCGGGCACATAGGGAAGCGGAGCGATGAGAGCGGTGAGAGCGGGGAGAGCGGTCAGGGCGGGCGTGCATTGGAACCCCCTAAAACACTAGAGATTGATCAGGAGCGGCGTAGGGGGTGGGGCTAGGCCTACAGGCGGAGGACAGGGGAGTGGGGGGGAGGTGGGGGCGTGGAAGGGTAAGGGGACGAGGTTTGGGAGGGGGAGGGGATGGGGGGTGGGACCAGGGTGGGCGTGCATTGGAACCCCTAAAACACTAAAGATTGGAGGCCCACAGGCGGAGGACAGGGGAGTGGGAGGGGGTGGGGGGCGGGGTGGGAGTGGGGGGTGGGGTGGGTGGGTGCGGATGGAGTGAAGGAATGTCGCGTAGGGGGTGGGGCTAGGCCTACAGGCGGAGGACAGGGGAGTGGGGGGGAGGTGGGGGCGGGGAGGGGGGGGTAGAGGGGGGGGGTGGAGGGGGGGGGGAGAAGGGGGGGTAGAGGGTGGGGGTAGTGGACAGGGGAGTGGGGGGGGGGTGGCGGGGGGGTGGGGGTGAGAGAGGCGGAGGCAGGAGGGGGGGGCGTGGAAGGGTAAGGACGAGGTTTGGGAGGGGGAGGGGGTGGGGCGTGCATTGGAACCCCTAAAACACTAAAGATTGGAGGCCCACGGCGGAGGACAGGGGAGTGGGAGGGGGTGGGGGGCGGGGTGGGAGTGGGGGGTGGGGTGGGTGGGTGCGGGTGGAGTGAAGGAATGTCGGGGGTGGGGGTGGGGTGGGGGGGGGGGTGACTGTGGAGGGGGGAGTGAGGGTTGGTGTTGGATTAGGGAGTGAGGGGCGGAGGGGAGCCGTGGGGCCAGAACCCATGGATCCATGAGGGGCATGGGCGGCGGGGCAGGGTGCGTGAGGGGTAAGGGGAAGGGAGCTGGGTCCATGAGGGGTAGGTCAAGGGGATGGAGAGTGGAGCTTTGGATGGGGTGGAGTAGGTGGTGGGGGTGGAGCAGCTCAAGGGATGAAGAATAGGACCAGGAGCCATGGGTCCATGAAAAGCATGGCGGGGTGCGTGGGGGGCTTGGGCAAGGGGAATGTATGCGGAGCGGGAAGGGCGGATGGGCGGGGAGCGGGTGCGTGGGTGGTGGGGGTAGGGGCGGAGGGGAGCCGTGGGGCCAGAACCCATGGATCCATGAGGGGCATGGGCGGCGGGGCAGGGTGCGTGAGGGGTAAGGGGTAGGGAGCTGGGTCCATGAGGGGTAGGTCAAGGGGATGGAGAGTGGAGCTTTGGATGGGGTGGAGTAGGTGGTGGGGGTGGAGCAGCTCAAGGGATGAAGAATAGGACCAGGAGCCATGGGTCCATGAAAAGCATGGCGGGGTGCGTGGGGGGCTTGGGCAAGGGGAATGTATGCGGAGCGGGAAGGGCGGATGGGCGGGGAGCGGGTGCGTGGGTGGTGGGGGTAGGGGCGGAGGGGAGCCGTGGGGCCAGAACCCATGGATCCATGAGGGGCATGGGCGGCGGGGCAGGGTGCGTGAGGGGTAAGGGGTAGGGAGCTGGGTCCATGAGGGGTAGGTCAAGGGGATGGAGAGTGGGAGCATGGGCCAGAGCTTTGGATGGGGTGGAGTAGGTGGTAGGGGCAATGGGTCTTCACTGACGCCGCCCCCGGCTGGGGTCGGCGGATAAGGGAACCCGAGTATTTGGGGGTCTATATTCGGGGTCCCCTTATTTTCGTAACCCCCCCAGGCCGCTCCGGCCATCAGCGTCCGGGAGCGTGGCCGGCAAGAGGAGGCAACTGCTCGGAGGGAGGCGCTGGAGGACTTCCACGCCTTCCTCACCCGGAAGTTCCGCACGCTGGTGGCGGCCTGGCGTCAAGGCCTGGACGCCGACGCAGATGGGCGGCTTCGATTTCCCGAGTTCTGCAATGCGTGCAAGCGCCTCGGCTACCGAGGCAAGCTGAAGACTTTGTGGAGAGCGCTCGACACAAGCAGTGTCGGATATCTGACACTCCGACATATAGACAAAGTTGCTGACGCAGGCCTGGACGACTTCAGATCTTTCTTGGAGGACAACTTTCGGACGTTGGACGATGCTTGGGAGAGAGTCTTTGACACCGACAAGTCTGGAAGGTGCAATGAGAGTCGCTTCGTGACTTCCTGCAAGGAGCTCAAATATCACGGCAATGCGCTGCGCGTGTTCAAGTGGCTGGATGTCAGCGGCAGGAGAGATTTGTACATAGATGATTTCGACATTCTAGGTCTGCGCCGTCGTTCAGAAACTCTGAACCCATCCGCGGAGCAGCGCGTCCTGGAACGTCAAGCGAAGGATCGTGCAGAGGCAGAGGCCATGCTCGGGAGATTCAAGCTCTTCCTGAACCAGAAGTTTGGCAACTTGGTCCGGGCATGGAGACATCTGGACTCGGATGGCAACGGGCGAGTCCAGTTTACAGACTTCTGCCAGTCTTGCCGCCATATGGGCTTCCAAGGCAATCTGAAGGCCCTTTGGCTTTCCTTGGATTCTTCAGACAAGGGGGAGGTGTGTCTGGACAACTTGGATCCTGACGCGGTGACCTGCCTGTTGGACTTCACACGCCTGCTGCGAGTCTACTTCGATGACTTGGACTCATGTTGGCTGGCTGTCCTTGACCCTGATGCTTCTGGACGCTGCAGCTTGGAGGAGTTTGAGCGCGCTTGCAGGACCTTGGGTTACATTCGTGATGCCAAGCAGCTCCACCGATATCTCGACATTCACAACACGGGCGTCGTCACCATTGATGAGATGGAGGCTGGCCTGCTCAGTGTTTGGAGAAGCAGCTGCGCGGTGTGCCAGTGTCGGGTGTTTCGCAACGAAGGTTCCCGGATGAACGCATAGGCAATGATCTGCTAACCTGATGCGAAACTTGAGGTGCTTGGGCTTCCCAGAGCTTCCCAAGAGGAGGCGCGGGCTTTTGGCGATTGTCCTTCACATTGCCCTACATGGGGGTTTGCGATATTAGGGGTACCTTATTGGGGTCCTTCTTATAAGGGGATCCGGCTATTTGGTGTCTAAATCAGGGGTCCCTTCTCTTCGTAAAACCCCCACAATTTGTTGCGCAGGCCCAGGCCAGAGCCAAGGCCGGGGAGCTGACGAGTCTTCTTCAAAAAGGGGGGGCTCTGGGATCTCAGAGCTCTCGCAGTCCAGAGGTTCAGCCTGGCGAAGCAAGGGAGGAGCTCGACCGGATCCTCCAGGACCATGTGCCAAAAGCTATGACTTCTTCAAAGGTTGGGGAAGTGCGCGTGCCTTTGGCCTCGGCGCCAGGCCAACTTCGGTCCCAGTGCTGTGCAGGGCTGGCCAGAAGCCCAGAAGCTGCCCTCGAACACTCTTGGAGAATGGATCTAAGATGATCTAAGACGTGGGGATCTCTTGAGGAAAGTCGGTAGAATCTTGCCCAAGGCGCAAAGGTCTATGCCTGGGGCCATTGGCGCAACAGTGGACGGAGGAGATGAGCGCGGAGGAGTGCTACACGTGGTAGAGCGGACGTAGCTACAACTTGATCATCACCTTCACAATTCCGCATGTGGGTGCTCTGAGGAGTTCTGCAACCGGTGCCGACAGCTGGGCTTTCAGGTGCCTGCACATGCCTGTCCCAAGCTGAGCTTTGATTCGTGCAGCCTGGAAGCCAGGGCAACCTGCTGGCCTTGTGGACGCAATTGCATGGAGCAGGCCTGTGCAGCATCTGCTTGTGTAGCAGTGTAGTCCGCGTCTATCCATCTTGTGCTTGATGGCAGCTTGACGACGCGGCCACTCAAGAGCTCAAACGGAGAAATCGCTGCCATGTCTCTCACACTTCCTTTTGCCGTTCCTTCTGCGACTCCGGCCTTGCGGGCATCGGAGGAATGCAGTTCCTGTCATCAGCAGGGCACTCGCCTTGTGTCTGGTAGGACGAATGGCCACTGGTGGTTGGGAATGTCACTTGGAGGGCTTGTGACCGGCCTCGCGTCGAGAAGCAGGAAGTCTTTGCACGCCAAGGCGGCACGCTCAACCAGGCCGGCCGCATCAGGGTGCTTGGTGCAAGGGCCTCCAGTCAGCTCATGGAGAGAACTCAATTGTAAAATGCAAGCTGTTCCGGCAGAGAAGCCAGACAGAACGCGACTTGGCTCTGATCAGAACCATTGTTTAGGGTTGGGCTTCTTAGCCCACGGTGCAATGTGTTGCGAGCTTGCTACTCGTAGCTTGGACAGACAAGGACGCTTTTCACGAAAGCTGGGCCAGATGGAGTATCACTGGGCGACTGCCCCTTCTCACACTCCGTGCAGATGGCCCTGAAGCTGAAAGGTGTTGACTACGACGTAGTGCCTTGCACGGAGGCAACAAAGCCTGCGTGGCTGATGAGTGAAGTTGGCGGCCAGATGCCCTGCGTAGTCCACCAGGGAGTGGCCCATGTCGACACCAAGCAGATTCTTGGATGGATTGAACAGCAGTTCCCAGGCCCTTCCCTTGCAGTGGACGAGGAGTTTGTGAGCGTGGTAGACAGGTCGCAGTTCTGGCCGGCTCTGGCAGCATTCACGAAGAACACAGACAGCAGCAAGGACGAGGGGCTGAAGCTTGAGCTGCAGATGGCCCTGACGCGACTGAGGGGCCACCTGTACTCAACCGGTTCTAGGTTTCTGGCCGGAGACACACCGTCCCTGTTGGACTGCGACCTACTGCCCAAGCTCTATGTATTTCAACATGCAACGAAGCACTTCAAAGACTACAACCTGGATGAGTTCTTGAAGGGAGATGATGTCCGGATGTACTACGAGCGTGCCTCTGCTCTACCGCCCTTTGCGAACAGCTGCTATCCACCGGATGTATGCATCTGGGGCTGGCAGCAGGCGCGAGGATGAAACGCTCTTAGCCTTTAAGCTCCTTTGTACTTGAGATGCGCTGCGTTGCAGCCGTCATGAGGCACTTGGCCCAGTTCTATCAAAGATTTCTTCGATGTTCGCAGCTGGCACACTTTGAATCTAGTCAGCGGAAGACTTGCTCAGTGGTTCAGGCGAAAAATCTGCTTCCATGAAGATCTTCAGCAGTTGTAAGCAATCAGGAGTCCCTTTGAGCCTCTGTGTCCTGACAGGTCTCGACCCGGACCTGCTGCAGGCCCCGATCCTTACAGCATTACAGCAACCAAGCAGCCATCAAGAGCAGGTTCTCAGTAGGTTCTAGGAAGTCCAGGAATGTTCCAATGATTCCAATGTTACATGGTGTAGTGCTGTCACAGCCCATCAAGAGGCTCACCAGCTGATGCTGATGGGAAGAAAGCGAGCAGGCAACGCCCCACAGTTTTCGACTTGCATGCGTCTAGAGTAGTGTTTCGATCTCCGCAAGGTCTTCGCACCAGCTCTGCAGAGAGGCGGGGGATCCAACGATTGGTTGATTGCGGAATCCACCACGTGGCTGTGCTCAGGCGGATCAGGGTGGCCGCAATGGGGGCAGATGCCGGCCGGATGTCTGCACATACTGTGGCTGCATTCAGACTGCACGTCAGGGACAGTGGTGTGCCATGCCGACCGGAAACTAAGGGCAGCCAGCAGGTCGCAGCAGCCGCAGCCTCTGGTGCACATGGGAAACTCTGTGGAGCACATGACCATACATGACCATACATATACATGACTTGATATGATTTCCAAACAGAGTGTGGTGCCAAGGCACCGCCCAAACATCGAACTTCCAAGCATTGTTCGAGAAGCCTCTACGCGATGAGGGTGAGACGCAGGCTGCACGAACGAGTCGCCGTATTCATGTGGTGTGTGTGTGTGTGCGCGCTCCCTGTGCACGTGTGCGACACGGTCTTCGGCAGGTGAAGCTGCTGGGACGTTGGGTGCTCAACTCCCGTCCGGCACCGCGTTCTGCAGCCTAAGCCTCGTGCTTCGGAGGCATCTCCCTCGTGGACTTTCTTCCTGCCAGGGGGCCCAGAGTTGTCTTGTGCCTGAAAACAAGAACCAAGCACCCTTCATGTTTCTTGCTCTGACTACTAGTAGATAGCCATTCAGGCGCAGGACTCAGTGTGAAGACTGACTCGCAGAGGCGCTGCACAAGGAGCTGCTCCAATTCCGGAGGAAGGCCATGGCAAAGCCGCGCCCTCAACAAAAGCCGCCACTCTTTAGCCTTCCTTCTGTCTCCTTTTGTCACGCTTTTGAAGCCTCTGAGCCCTTCGAGCATCTTCGAGTCACCAAAAGCCGAAACGACCATAACCTGACGCGTGTGCTCCTCAGGTTCCATGCCGCAGAAGACCTGTGGGCCGTGCTCCTCAAGGACAGGTTCGTACGGGGAAAGTGCAATGACGTCCCATGTCAAGCGGAGGTAAGAGAACTGCTCACAAGCAATCTTGCCCCCTTGCAAACACTGCAACGACACGAGCAGTAAAGGAAACGGATCCTTCACAGCCAACATCAACCAGTCATCTAACTAAAAAAAGCTCTCCTGCTGGGCAGCGAGACTGCTCCGAGGAGTCGCTGAAATCAGGCGACTCCCGCCTCAGGAAGGCGCTCGGAGACTTCTCACGTCCGTTCGGGCAGCTCTCTAAATTTGTGGGTCCCTTTGTTGGGGGGGGTGAGAACAGGAGCCCCCAAAAGGGACCACTTGAGCTGTACATTTACCCTTGCATCGATGGGATTCTGGTGGCTTCTGTGTGGGTGAAAGTTGAAGATACGTAAAAAACGCCTTCGGGCCAGGTGGAGTTTGCTCAAGCTGCAAGACGCGCGATTGGGCTGCTTGACAGCATCGAAGTCGACCACCAGTTGCGTCGATGATATCTCATGCTGGTGTCACGTTGCCTGTCATGCCATGCTGGCTTGTCCACGTTGGCGCATCAGAGTCGTGCATCGCAACCCACATGCAGTGCCAGCGACCAACGCTGGTGGCACAGCTCGTCTGGCTGAGATATGCTCTGGCTCGCTCATGGGTAGAAGAACAAGAACAAAACGACCAAGACGAACTTCCAGGGAAGCTACTGACAGCATTCTCATGCATGGGCCGTGCAGCTGTGCTCTGGGGGACAAAATGGAAGCTCGAGGCCATTCCGGCTGCCCCCGCCGGCATCTCCCCACATTGAGATGTTGCCACATATCCCGACATGTCCTACATATCCCTACACACTATATCCCTGATATGGACAAGAATCCGTCACTTCGGTCAGCAACGACACCGTTTAGGAAATGTCGGCGTAGCAAAGATGGCCAGGCAGCTGGAGCCATGGGTGACGCGGCCATGGAAAGCAAATCGGCCAGTAATGGCAGTGGTGAGAAGTCACACCTATTCAACTTCACTGGCATATCTGCCAACAAGGCAGGTATGGGAGCAGACAGAAAGCTGGTTGCAGACTTCGTTTACGAGAAAAGCAAGAATTCACAATACACCCAGCATCAGCTCGAACTCGACGCCAAGCAGCACACCAGAGCAGAGGCTGTGGCATGTGAGCTCCGCACGGCCGAGAAGAGAATGTCCGAAAGTGAGATGCTGGCGGAAAAGAGGAAGGCCGAAAGCGAGCTGGAAGCGCTTGAGAAGCACAGGGATCTCACTCGAACCCACTGTGTCGTTGACATGGACATGTTCTATGCCGCCGTTGAGATTCGGGATCAGCCAGACTTGGCATCAAAGCCTGTAGCCATTGGAGGACTCGGGATGATATGCACCGCGAACTACGTGGCGCGCCTATATGGAGTCCGAGCTGCCATGCCAGGTTTCATTGCGGTGGAGATGGTCAGGAATCCAACTGCCATCGGCTCGAAGATGCCACCGGATGAGCTTGTTTTCATTCCACCAAACTTTGCGAAGTACACGCAAGTGGCGATGGAAACAAGGGAAGTCTTTCGACAGTATGATCCGCATTTTAAGGCAATGTCTCTAGACGAGGCATACCTGGATCTGACCGACTATCTAGCTGCGCATGGGGTAAGCGCAGAGACCGCCGTGCAAAAGATGCGAGATCAGGTCAAAGAACGCACCGGCCTGACCTGTTCGGCTGGCATTGGTCCAAACCGCATGGTTGCCAAGATAGCCTCAGATGAGAAGAAGCCAGATGGTCAGACGAGGATTCTGCCCACAAGGGCAGCCGTTCTTGACTTTATGGACCGCCTGCCAGTTCGCAAGATTCCCGGGTGCGGCAAGGTGCTTGAGAACCAGATTTCGATCATGTTGGGTGTGCAAACATGCTCGGAGCTTCGCGCTGCCGCTGCGCGTGTAAAACGCGCATTTCAGGGCCGAAAGACTTGCAGCTTCCTCCTGCGAGCGTGTCTTGGCCTGTCAGCTGACGAGCTGGCCGAAGACGGGGACGAAATCGGCAACGTGGGCCGCAAGTCCCTGTCATGCGAGCGCACGTTCCGAGCGGAGTCGGAGCCCGCGGAGCTGCGTGGGCGCTTGCGAGACCTCTGTCGGAATGTCGCGCAGGCCTGCGGCTGATGTCTCTTTCAGAGGGTGCCGTGATGTGCTATTTTTTTGTACATTTTTGTTCTTTTTGCGGTTCTGAGGCACAGGCAGGTGCTGAATTCGTAGCGGCTTAATCGCGTACCTGACCTGCACAAGAGTGTATCCGAATGCATATCGTGGCCCTCCAGGATATGGCAGCGTCCGTTCCGCCTCTTGCAGGTCGAGTCGTGGCTTTGAAAACCAAGGCATCCAGCTTCGAGGTGCGGAATAAGCAGGTCAGCCTGATGCAGCCAGTGGGCTTCAGCCCCAACTTCGGAAAGCCTGCTGAAGCTGCTGGAGTCCCTGAAGCCACTGCAACACACGAAGCACCTCACGAGGCATCACAAAGCACTGTTGCCGAAGAGGCCGAACGGGAGATCTCGCGTGTGACTCACGAGCTCTTCAAGTTGCTGGAGCCAGTCCTGGAGGAACAGCTCCCATGTCAGCTTCGCCTAATGGGAGTCCGGGTATCTTCTTTCAGAGACCAGCGCTCCACTCTCGACAAAGGGCAGCGGCAGCTCAACAGCTTCTTCCAAGGCAAAAGCTCCGAGCAGATCGCAGAAGAGCGCCACGCAGAGGCTCCAGCTGGCTGCGGCCAGGCAGCTTCTGATCAGAGTGCAGAGATGCCAAGACCCGCGCTGAGAGCTTTGCAGGACTCCACCGTTATTGACCTTGAAGCCAGCTCTCAAGAGGACCAGGCATTCAAGGCCTCCGAGCCAAAGGAAGGCAATGCGCGCCCGCAGGGCCAGCAGGGCCCGCAGAGCCCGCAGAAGTCACTGCCGGCAGGGACATCCGAAGGCTGCTTAAAGCGAGTGGTTGCAAGACTTGCCAGTCGTGCCAAGAGGATTCGCTCGTCCGGAGTTTGTTGCCCAGTTTGTGGCATTCGAGTGCCTGAAGATGAAGCGAATCATCATGTGAATGCTCACTATGGGGACAATTGAAGTGAGCCAGGTCGAGCCATTGGCTTGTCGGAAAAGTGAGCTTCTGCTGCAAACGCTGATGGATCGCCCCTCCTTTAAGCACGATGCTGCGTAGATACTTGGTGGGGTGCAAGTCTCGCGTGACATGAGTGACGTTATTTGACGTTATGAGGTTTACTGGCAGCGCCGATTTGGTCTTTGAGGCCAGCTGTACTGAGCCGATATGCTTGATGCTTCTGATGCACTACGGAGACTACACGACGCGAGTTTTCTGTGACTAGTGAGACTACCACTTTGCACTTGCAGGCCTGCGACATCGAGCAACGACATTCCATTTCCTTGCAGGAGCGCAGCAGATTGTTCAAGACATGTCGTTGACGTATGCCATACGCCACAGGATTTCACCTTCCTGCAGATTGGCATCTCGTTCAGCAAGATCCTCCAAAACTGAATACCGCTCTGCAGAGGCGTGGCACTGCAGGAATATGTAGGGATCCTCGCGTAGAAGAGCTGGGCAGAGGTGAGATCGCGCAAAAAGCAAAGATGGTGGATGCACAATTCTGCGGGGTGGCTTTGAGGGCTGAAGGGCTTCATCAGCGCCAGGGCTGGTCGGCATGACAGGAAAGTTGCTTCGAAGCTTCTGCCAACGGCGCCTTCTCCGCCTCAGCAAGACTGGAAGCGTATGCGCACTCGCACGGGCCTGTTATCCAAGCCGCTTTGCCATGGCACACGCTGCAGAAGGCTAGGACATGCTATAGGGCTCTAGGCAGAGGAGCATAAAGCAGCCTAAACGTGGCCCTTCCGCACCTCTGGCGCTCCCTCTGGCGCCATGGGAAACTGCCAGGGCCTTATGTAGAGCCTCATGACCTGCAGCAAGCCATCCGCAGCCCGCTGGAGCTATGCCATGCCATGCCATGCCTATGACATCTATCGGATCTATCGAGGCTGCGATGCGCCCTCTGGGCAGGCCTGCTCCAGCACGTTTCGGTAAGGGTTTGGCAACACGCAGTGCTTCTGCATGGTTCTGGCTTTGTCCTTGGCGTTCGCGGTTCTTTGATTCAGGAGGAGGGCGAGGAGATCGACCTCGGTGAGCTGGAATCTGCTACACCACCTAAACCAGCAATCGCGTTGGAGTGGTTGTACGAGCCGGGGGAGGTGAAAGTCCTCTATTATGGCGACATGGAGGAATACAAGAAGATCCCCCGGGTGCCTCAGGCCGGGCTTCCGGATTGCGGCCCCAGGGTCAGAAAGCGTCGGCTCTTGAGTGCTGAAAGCCAGGGACACACTAGGTTCTGCTAGATTCTGCTAGCCCTCAGAAACGGGAGCGCGCGACACCCTGCCCCAAACCCTGCCGTGGCGAAGGCATGGGAGGTTGCCACCACCATCTCCGTTGCCAGCCCGCGCAACTTCTCGCCCGCCGCCCACCTCAGTCGGGCTTTTCGTGCCACTTGAGCGTGGAACATGTGCTGCTGCGTGGCGTCATTGAAAGTTGTCGGATGCATTTATACGCATCTATCATCATCTATCTGCAGTGCAAGGCACAGGCCATGCAGGTGGATGACAGCATCGATGGGACTGAGAGCCGGCCCAACGAGGCCTGTGCGAATTCTTTCGAGCATATAGTACTATCGCATCATATCGCATCACATATGCTGCTTCGCAGTGCTTTCGGCAGGCATCGGCGGGCGCATCTTCCGCGAGAGCACCGGCGGCGCTGCGCCTCGCCACGCAGTTGGGCAATCACGGGCTCGCGCACGCTCGGGCGGCATCGTTGCCATTGCAATTCTCTGGCCAGGCCGGTGCTTCTTGGTCGCCTCAACAAGGACGAAGAGGTGTGCAGAGCTTCCGACAGCAGCAGCATCGGCAGCTTTCAAGCGCCCTGGCGTTGCAGTCCGCGCACAGGCACAGCTGCTGCAGATGCGTGTCCAGGCAGTGAGAGTTGCGCGGTCCTCAGCCTCGAGCCTCCAGATTCTCCAGGTTCTCGAGCGCCAAGAGGGGTGGGGAAGCGCAATCCCGAAACCGGCTCGACTCCAAAACTCTGAACTCTGAACCCGCGGATGTCCTCTCGGCCTTGGCCAGGCCCGCCAGAGTATGAGGGAGAAAGACCAGGCGGCTGCTGGGAAGGCAAAGCCCTGAGGATCGTGCTAGAACCGCAGGACTCGAGCATGAGTTGAGGGCTCCTCTCCAATCACCTTCAATCACCTCCCATCGCGTTCACGCACCTGCAAAGATCTGCAAACCTGCGCGTCCAAGCAGCGAGGCTCCTCCAAAGGACAAGGCGCCCAAGGCCAAGGCTTGGGGCAGAAGAGTTGGAAAGTTGCCGCCTCCTCCCAACGTTTTCCTTCCCTCCCTTGTGCCACCTGAGAGGCATGCACTTACAACCTTCTGAAGCAGACGAAGCAGCTGGAGCAGAACAAGACCGGGCAGGATGGGAGGCCTGAATTCCCGTCTGCGCATCACTGCGCTGCTCGAGCTAGTGGTCGCTGGTCGCCTTGCTCGGCAGGTGCGAGCGCCCCCGAGGCTTGGAAAGCGGGAAGAACCGGGCCGGTTTCGGGACGTTTCGGTTTCGCGATATGACGCCGCTGGTGGGAGAGTGGGCCGTTTTTTGCCGACTCCCGTGCCATTTGCTGGATGCAGGACGCCAGCTCCCGGCGGCTTCTGCAGTGACTTCCCGCGAGCGGGGGGCCTCACACTGCGTACTTGAGTCTGTAGGTTCCCCCACGAATCTCACGACGCCGTGAGGCCTCACCGCGTCAGTCGCTGCCGCAGCGAGCCAGCGCGAGCCAGCGCGAAGGCCGCCAAGCAGATGTCGGCGCAGTAGCATCTGCAGGGTGAGCACCTCTTCGCGCCACGAGTCGCGTGCTGCTTGCAGGTAGCCTGCTGAGAATTCGAGTGATGTGTGCTCCTTGGCTTGAATGTCGGTCGAGGCGGACCCTTGAAAACGGACCATTGACAGCTAACACTAGATTTGACAAAAGAGAGCACATTCTAAGCGATGGCTGCGCGCGTGACGTCACATGACTGCCTGGGCGCGGTGCGCTCGCCAGTGTTTGTCTAAGTCATCGCTTGTGTTCGGTTGTTGTCGACAGTTGTCGATGTGCAAAGGCTTTCAACAAGGAGACGGAGAAGGAGGATGGGCTCAGCCAAGGCGGGGGGGGGGAGTTTACTTACAGTTTCGAAGGGTCGAGCTGTAGCCCCATCTCTCGACCCACAACTCCCCCTACGAGCGCGGGTCGATATTGTTTCAGCCTTGCCCGTGGGTTCTCGCTGCGTGGTCCATAAAAATAGAAAAGGTGAACAGTCCAAAACAACCCTAAGCCCACACATCCTCCTCTGAACGAGCTGTACGGTTTGCAAAGCTTCTTCAGTTCCACAGTTTGCCTTTTCGATCGCGCCCTGCGTTCAGAGGAATTGGGGTGGCCTCGGCATAGCCGTGAGGCGGTGCGTCTCCACATGAATCGCCTCCGATGGCAGGATCACCCCGCCTCACTTGGAAGAGATGACGAGCGGCTTCGATGGCTTCCATGTGTCCTGAGCAGGGAAACATGCTAGGCTGGCACATGCGGGCACCTTCTGGTCCGGACTGACAGATGGAAGTTTGCGTGCGAACGCACGCGCATGTCTGCCCGTGTGCTGCCCACATCCACTCGGAGAACCCTCGCCAAAGAGGTCCCGCTTGCTGCCGACAGAGTTGGAGGATGCCGCGCTCAAAAGCAGGGCCAAGCCGTCGTTGCTGAGCGTTCACCGCAGTGACAGTCGTAGGTGGTGCGAAGTGCTGGTCGGCATGACAGGCAAGTTGCTTCGAAGCTGCTACCAATGGCGCCTTTTCCGCCTCAGCAAGACTGGAAGCGTATATGAGCCTGTTATCCAAGCCGCTTTGCCATGGCACACGCTGCAGAAGGCTAGGACATGCTATAGGGCTAGGCAGAGGAGCATAAAGCAGCCTAAACGTGGCCCTTCCGCACCTCTGGCGCTCCCTCTGGCGCCATGGGAAACTGCCAGGGCCTTATGTAGAGCCTCATGACCTGCAGCAAGCCATCCGCAACCCGCTGGAGCTATGCCATGCCATGCCATGCCTATGACATCTATCGGATCTATCGAGGCTGCGATGCGCCCTCTGGGCAGGCCTGCTCCAGCACGTTTCGGTAAGGGTTTGGCAACACGCAGTGCTTCTGCATGGTTCTGGCTTTGTCCTTGGCGTTCGCGGTTCTTTGATTCAGGAGGAGGGCGAGGAGATCGACCTCGGTGAGCTGGAATCTGCTACACCACCTAAACCAGCAATCACGTTGGAGTGGTTGTACGAGCCGGGGGAGGTGAAAGTCCTCTATTATGGCGACATGGAGGAATACAAGAAGATCCCCCGGGTGCCTCAGGCCGGGCTTCCGGATTGCGGCCCCAGGGTCAGAAAGCGTCGGCTCTTGAGTGCTGAAAGCCAGGGACACACCGAGGCCCCAAAGCTGCTAGCATCCGCTAGGCTCTGATAGGTTCTGCTAGATTCTGCTAGCCCTCAGAAACGGGAGCGCGCGACACCCTGCCCCAAACCCTGCCGTGGCGAAGGCATGGGAGGTTGCCACCACCATCTCCGTTGCCAGCCCGCGCAACTTCTCGCCCGCCGCCCACCTCAGTCGGGCTTTTCGTGCCACTTGAGCGTGGAACATGTGCTGTTGCGTGGCGTCATTGAAAGTTGTCGGATGCATTTATACGCATCTATGTGCAGTGCAAGGCGCAGGCCATGCAGGTGGATGACAGCATCGATGGGACTGAGAGCCGGCCCAACGAGGCCTGTGCGAATTCTTTCGACTTTTGTCAGAATGATTCAGAGTGTTTGGTGTTTGAGAAATCTTTGCGAAGCATATAGTACTATCGCATCATATCGCATCATATATGCTGCTTCTCAGTGCTTTCGGCAGGCATCGGCGGGCGCATCTTCCGCGAGAGCACCGGCGGCGCTGCGCCTCGCCACGCAGTTGGGCAATCACGGGCTCGCGCACGCTCGGGCGGCATCGTTGCCATTGGAATTCTCTGGCCAGGCCGGTGCTTCTTGGTCGCCTCAACAAGGACGAAGAGGTGCGCAGAGCTTCCGACAGCAGCAGCATCGGCAGCTTTCAAGCGCCCTGGCGTTGCAGTCCGCGCACAGGCACAGCTGCTGCAGATGCGTGTCCAGGCAGTGAGAGTTGCGCGGTCCTCAGCCTCGAGCCTCCAGATTCTCCAGGTTCTCGAGCGCCAAGAGGGGTGGGGAAGCGCAATCCCGAAACCGGCTCGACTCCAAAACTCTGAACTCTGAACCCGCGGATGTCCTCTCGGCCTTGGCCAGGCCCGCCAGAGTATGAGGGAGAAAGACCAGGCGGCTGCTGGGAAGGCAAAGCCCTGAGGATCGTGCTAGAACCGCAGGACTCGAGCATGAGTTGAGGGCTCCTCTCCAATCACCTTCAATCACCTCCCATCGCGTTCACGCACCTGCAAAGATCTGCAAACCTGCGCGTCCAAGCAGCGAGGCTCCTCCAAAGGACAAGGCGCCCAAGGCCAAGGCTTGGGGCAGAAGAGTTGGAAAGTTGCCGCCTCCTCCCAACGTTTTCCTTCCCTCCCTTGTGCCACCTGAGAGGCATGCACTTACAACCTTCTGAAGCAGACGGAGCAGCTGGAGCAGAACAAGACCGGGCAGGATGGGAGGCCTGAATTCCCGTCTGCGCATCACTGCGCTGCTCGAGCTAGTGGTCGCTGGTCGCCTTGCTCGGCAGGTGCGAGCGCCCCCGAGGCTTGGAAAGCGGGAAGAACCGGGCCGGTTTCGGGACGTTTCAATTTCGCGATATGACGCCGCTGGTGGGAGAGTGGGCTGTTTTTTGCCGACTCCCGTGCCATTTGCTGGATGCAGGACGCCAGCTCCTGGCGGCTTCTGCAGTGACTTCCCGCGAGCGGGGGGCCTCACACTGCGTACTTGAGTCTGTAGGTTCCCCCACGAACCTCACGACGCCGTGAGGCCTCGCCGCATCAGTCGCTGCCGCAGCGAGCCAGCGCGAGCCAGCGCGAAGGCCGCCAAGCAGATGTCGGCGCAGTAGCATCTGCAGGGTGAGCACCTCTTCGCGCCACGAGTCGCGTGCTGCTTGCAGGTAGCCTGCTGAGAATTCGAGTGATGTGTGCTCCTTGGCTTGAATGTCGGTCGAGGCGGACCCTTGAAAACGGACCATTGACAGCTAACACTAGATTTGACAAAAGAGAGCACATTCTAAGCGATGGCTGCGCGCGTGACGTCACATGACTGCCTGGGCGCGGTGCGCTCGCCAGTGTTTGTCTAAGGCATCGCTTGTGTTCGGTTGTTGTCGACAGTTGTCGATGTGCAAAGGCTTTCAACAAGGAGACGGAGAAGGAGGATGGGCTCAGCCAAGGCGGGGGGGGGGAGTTTACTTACAGTTTCGAAGGGTCGAGCTGTAGCCCCCATCTCTCGACCCACAACTCCCCCTACGAGCGCGGTTCGATATTGTCTCAGCCTTGCCCGTGGGTTCTCGCTGCGTGGTGCCCGAACCCTACCCCCATAAAAATAAAAAAGGTGAACAGTCCAAAACAACCCTAAGCCCACGCATCCTCCTCTGAACGAGCTGTACGGTTTGCAAAGCTTCTTCAGTTCCACAGTTTGCCTTTTCGATCGCGCCCTGCGTTCAGAGGAATTGGGGTGGCCTCGGCATAGCCGTGAGGCGGTGCGTCTCCACATGAATCGCCTCCGATGGCAGGATCACCCCGCCTCACTTGGAAGAGATGACGAGCGGCTTCGATGGCTTCCATGTGTCCTGAGCAGGGAAACATGCTAGGCTGGCACATGCGGGCACCTTCTGGTCCGGACTGACAGATGGAAGTTTGCGTGCGAACGCACGCGCATGTCTGCCCGTGTGCTGCCCACATCCACTCGGAGAACCCTCGCCAAAGAGGTCCCGCTTGCTGCCGACAGAGTTGGAGGATGCCGCGCTCAAAAGCAGGGCCAAGCCGTCGTTGCTGAGCGTTCACCGCAGTGACAGTCGTAGGTGGTGCGAAGTGCTGGTCGGCATGACAGGCAAGTTGCTTCGAAGCTGCTACCAACGGTGCCTTTTCCGCCTCAGCAAGACTGGAAGCGTATGCGAGCCTGTTATCCAAGCCGCTTTGCCATGGCACACGCTGCAGAAGGCTAGGACATGCTATAGGGCTAGGCAGAGGAGCATAAAGCAGCCTAAACGTGGCCCTTCCGCACCTCTGGCGCTCCCTCTGGCGCCATGGGAAACTGCCAGGGCCTTATGTAGAGCCTCATGACCTGCAGCAAGCCATCCGCAGCCCGCTGGAGCTATGCCATGCCATGCCATGCCTATGACATCTATCGGATCTATCGAGGCTGCGATGCGCCCTCTGGGCAGGCCTGCTCCAGCACGTTTCGGTAAGGGTTTGGCAACACGCAGTGCTTCTGCATGGTTCTGGCTTTGTCCTTGGCGTTCGCGGTTCTTTGATTCAGGAGGAGGGCGAGGAGATCGACCTCGGTGAGCTGGAATCTGCTACACCACCTAAACCAGCAATCACGTTGGAGTGGTTGTACGAGCCGGGGGAGGTGAAAGTCCTCTATTATGGCGACATGGAGGAATACAAGAAGATCCCCCGGGTGCCTCAGGCCGGGCTTCCGGATTGCGGCCCCAGGGTCAGAAAGCGTCGGCTCTTGAGTGCTGAAAGCCAGGGACACACCGAGGCCCCAAAGCTGCTAGCATCCGCTAGGCTCTGATAGGTTCTGCTAGATTCTGCTAGCCCTCAGAAACGGGAGCGCGCGACACCCTGCCCCAAACCCTGCCGTGGCGAAGGCATGGGAGGTTGCCACCACCATCTCCGTTGCCAGCCCGCGCAACTTCTCGCCCGCCGCCCACCTCAGTCGGGCTTTTCATGCCACTTGAGCGTGGAGCACGTGGTGCTGCGTGGCGTCATTGAAAGTTGTCGGATGCATTTATACGCATCTATCTGCAGTGCAAGGCGCAGGCCATGCAGGTGGATGACAGCATCGATTTGACTGAGAGCCGGCCCAACGAGGCCTGTGCGAATTCTTTCGACTTTTGTCAGAATGATTCAGAGTGCTTGGTGTTTGAGAAATCTTTGCGAAGCATATAGTACTATCGCATCATATCGCATCATATATGCTGCTTCTCAGTGCTTTCGGCAGGCATCGGCGGGCGCATCTTCCGCGAGAGCACCGGCGGCGCTGCGCCTCGCCACGCAGTTGGGCAATCACGGGCTCGCGCACGCTCGGGCGGCATCGTTGCCATTGGAATTCTCTGGCCAGGCCGGTGCTTCTTGGTCGCCTCAACAAGGACGAAGAGGCGCGCAGAGCTTCCGACAGCAGCAGCATTGAAGAACCTTCGGCAGCTTTCAAGCGCCCTGGCGTTGCAGTCCGCGCACAGGCGCAGCTGCTGCAGATGCGTGTCCAGGCAGTGAGAGTTGCGCGGTCCTCAGCCTCGAGCCTCCAGATTCTCCAGGTTCTCGAGCGACAAGAGGGGTGGGGAAGCGGCAGCACTTTGTTCGGCCTTGGGCCAGGCCCGCCAGAGTATGAGGGAGAAAGACCAGGCGGTTGCTGGCAAGGCGTGGCCCTGAGAATCGTGACACCTCTGGGTTGATCTGCGGGCAGCTGCTGGCCGGGAAGGACTCGAGCATGAGTTGAGGGCTCCTCCAGTCACCTCCACTCACCTCCCATCACATTCACGCACCTGCAAAGCACCTGCGCGTCCAAGCAGCGAGGCTCCTCCAAAGGACAAGGCGCCCAAGGCCAAGGCCTGGGGCAGAAGAGTTGGAAAGCTGCCGCCCCTCCTCCATGTTTTAACGTTTTCCTTCCCTCCCTTGTGCCACCTGAGAGGCATGCACCTACAACCTTCTGAAGCAGACGAAGCAGCTGGAGCAGAACAAGACTGGGCAGGATAGGAGGCCTGAATTCCCGTCTGCGCATCACTGCGCTGCTCGAGCTAGTGGTCGCCTTGCTCGGCAGGTGCGAGCGCCCCCGAGGCTGGGAGAGCGGGAAGAACCGGGCCGGTTTCGGGACGCTTCGGGTTTCGCGATATGACGCCGCTGGTGGGAGAGTGGGCTGTTTTTTGCCGACTCCCGTGCCATTTGCTGGATGCAGGACGCCAGCTCCCGGCGGCTTCTGCAGTGACTTCCCGCGAGCGGGGGGCCTCACACTGCGTACTTGAGTCTGTAGGTTCCCCCACGAACCTCACGACGCCGTGAGGCCTCGCCGCATCAGTCGCTGCCGCAGCGAGCCAGCGCGAGCCAGCGCGAAGGCCGCCAAGCAGATGTCGGCGCAGTAGCATCTGCAGGGTGAGCACCTCTTCGCGCCACGATTCGCGTGTTGCAGGTAGCCTGCTGAGAATTCGAGTGATGTGTGCTCCTTGGCTTGAATGTCGGTCGAGGCGGACCCTTGAAAACGGACCATTGACAGCTAACACTAGATTTCGCCGACAAAAGAGAGCACATTCTGAGCGATGGCTGCGCGCGTGACGTCGCATGACTGCCTGGGCGCGGTGCGCTCGCCAGTGTTTGTCTAAGTCATCGCTTGTGCTCGGTTGTTGTCGACAGTTGTCGATGTGCAAAGGCTTTCAACAAGGAGAAGGAGAAGGACAAGGGGCTCAGCCGACGTTTTCGAAGGACCGAGCCTCTGGACTCCTATACCTTTATACTGTAGCCCCATCTCTCGACCTACAACTCTCCCTGCGCTCGTGGGCGGCTCGATGTTGTCTCAGCCTTGCCCGTCGCTCCCTGTGTGGTGCCCGAACCCAACGCCTACAAAAGCTATAAAGTGAACAGTCCAAAACAGCCCTAAGCCCACGCATCCTCCCCTGATCTCCCCTGAACGAGCTGTACGGTTTGTAAAGCTTCTTCAGTTCCGCAGCTGCCTTGTTCGATGGGCCTTGCGTCCAGAAGAATTGGGATGGCCTCGGCGTAGCAGTGAAGCGGTGCGTGTCCACATGAATCGCCTTGGCAGGATCACCTCGCCGCACTTGGAAGAGATGACGCGCGGCTTCGATGGCTTCCATATCTGAGCAGGGAAAAATGCTAGGCTGCTAGGCTGGCACATGCGGGCGCCTTCTGGTCCACACTGAAGATGCCGCGCTCAGAAGCGCTGGTCGGCATGACAGGCAAGTTGCTTCGAAGCTTCTGCCAGTGGGGCCTTTTTCCGCTTCAGCAAGACTGGAAGCGCATGCGCGCGAGCCAGTTAGACTTTAAGCCGCTTTCCCATGGCACACGCTGCAGAAGGCTAGGACATGCTATAGGGCTAGGCAGAGGAGCATAAAGCAGCCTAAAAGTGGCCCTTCCGCACCTCTGGCGCTCCCTCTGGCGCCATGGGAAACTGCCAGGGCCTGATGTAGAGCCTCATGACCTGCAGCAAGCCATCCGCAGCCCGCCGGAGCTATGCCGTGCCATGCCATGCCATGCCATGCCAGGAGGAGGTCGAGGAGATCGACCTCGGTGAGCTGGAATCTGGTGCCTAAACCAGCAATCGCTTTGGAGTGGTTGTACGAATCGGGGGAGATCAAAGTCCTCTACTATGGAAATATGGAGGAATGCGGGATCTTCTTGTATTCCTCCATGTTGCCATAATAGAGGACTTTGATCTCCCCCGGCTCGTACAACCGCTCCAAAGTGATTGCTGGTTTAGGTGTAGCACTGTACGACCTTGATGCAAGATTCCACGGGTGCTGCAATCCGGGCTTCCGGATTCCGGCTCGGGTCAGCAAGCGAGCATCGACTTTTCAGTGCTGAAAACCATGGACCCTGCCAGATCCCGCCGAAGGTGAAAGACCAGCCAGCTGCTGGGAAGGCGTAGCCTTGAAACTCGTGGGTCGAGTTGAGGACTCCTCCAATCGCATGAGCACCTGCAAAGCTCCTGCAAAGCACCTGCAAAGCACCTGCCAAGCACCTGGCACCTGCCAAGCGCCTGTCTTGAGCACTTGCAAAGCACTTGGCAAGCACCTGCAAAGCACTTGCGTTGAGCGCCTGCAAAGCTTCTGCAAGCAGCTGCAAAGCACCTGCAAAGATCCGCTTTGAGCACCTGCGAAGCTCCTGCAAAGGACATGCAAAGCTCCTGCAAAACTCCTGCAAAGAATGCTTTGAGCACCGTAAAGCACCTTTT